GTCACGAGAATATAATCAGGTGGTTTCCCTTGCCTGCCTGATCGCAGTATCATGGCCGGTTAAATCATTATGTAATATCCGCCTGTGATCATCTGTCATTACAAATGGCCAAGCAATGGATAAAACAAAGGCCATTTTGCGATAATGGCAGATAGAAGGTGGGCAAAAGACTCACTGCTGAGAGGATAAGGAAAGAAAAGAAGAAGATGAATACGAAATAAGTGGCTAGAAACGTGTAAGGAAAACATATAAACAATTGGAATAAAAAATTGGCTACCATCAGCGATCATCGACAAAAAAATGGAGGAAACAGTGGAAAAATTCCAAGCTTTATGCCCCTTAGGCCTGTTGAGCTGTATATATTTAAAAGCAAGTGGAGTAATGATATGACTAAATAAACTTTTGAAAACACAGAATGTATATAGAACAGTCATTCCACCAGTGGCATTATATGCTTGTGCGACTTGGACGATGAATAAGAAAGGAGAAATGAAATAAAAATTGAGATCAGGAAAATAAAGGCGTTGTGAAAAATTTTCGGTTAAGCGTGGAATGGGGATATGTGAAAAACCACTAGTTGTACAAAAAGCCAAGGTTTAAGTCAGGTTAGGTCACATCTATTGAATCCCAGAGAGACGTTGTGTTAAAAAAAGCTACTTTTTGGCGAAGGGGACGTATAAAGAAGAAAAGAAGATTGTAAAAAGAAGAACAAAGAATATAAAAGTCAAGGGCTTTAATTTCCTGTTTTATTTATGTATATAATACTCAAAAACAAATCTTCGTGGTATTGTTAATACATTGCAAATGGATGTAGTGATTGCCAACACTCCATAACAATGACGACTTTGTGTGGTTTATGGCTCTGAAAATGTTCATTTGTCTCCAAAACAAATAAGTTTTTAATTAACATGCTTTGCAATATAGACAGCTATATCAATTTACTGCTAAAACTAAATAAAGCTAATTTTATATTCGAGACAATAATTTTGTTAAATGACCCATAAAATGCCACTATTTCTATTGTTTACCACGACAGACCAAAAATTTGCATTTATTATTTTAAATTTGACTAATCCTTTCGTTATATGATGCACCACCTACAAGTCCGTAGGATGATGCGGTCGTCATCGTTTAAATATAATATCTAGCACATAATAAATGAAAGTTATGAAATAATTGGGGATATATCCTGTTTTAGGCAAATTCGACATAATTCGAATAAGAGTAAAATGAATATATTATTACTACGTATATGATTTTTGCTGTTTATTTTGATGTGATTTTATTTTAGTTTTCTAGTAATGAACAGAAAAATTATTAGCGTTTATGCTCCATGCGAATGTAGAAAAAACAAAAGTTTTGTTTTGAAAAAATTCAAATTTAAAATATTAAAACATTTTCATGGAAACCACTGTCTTTTCATCTATGAACATTTGGAATTGTAATTCAAATTAGTTGATTAAAATGTTTATAATACTGTGCGAATTTTTGAGTAGTAACGTTTTCTTTTGTTAAATGTGAAAAGTGAGACAAATTATTCTGCAAAATATGCTGTTTCGACAATTTTAATTTGAGCTCAAAGCCCTGAATTTTGTCATACGAATTGTGAATTAACTGCCCTTTGCCTTAAAGTTTCACATTAAAATCATTGAGGCGCTGATTCATGTCGATAGGAAACTCAAAATCGAACATCTATTCTTTATTACTAAGATGAGGAAAGGCATATTCCTTCATATCCGAGAACAATTATTGTATTTTGCTTTTTGAGTTGTATTTTTTTTAACCTTTCGCCTCTACTAAGCCGACGTACTTCGATATTAAAAACCACGTCGCCAATTCAGTTTCTAATTCTTTCAGGAATTCTTCAAATTCGAGGCAATTTAACCCGCACGACTTTACAAAATGGATAAATTTATTTATTGGTACTGTGAGATGTGGCAAACTCAATATTCTCACAAACAAATTTTTCTGGGGAATTATGCAATGTTTAACGAATGTTTCACTTTCTGTGAGCTTATTAATGTCCTGAACCAGCCTTTCCGATTCTCTTACCTCCATACTTAACACTGCTTGTGCTCCATCTGTCGATATACTAATAATTTTCAATCTTCAATTCTTCTAATTTTAATTTTAAAATGCATTTGAGTAGCTCATATCTGCCTGGCTTATGTTGTTATAAATCATACCTTTCGTTTGTTTTCCAGTCTCTTTCTCTCTTTATCTCTCAGTTTTGCCTCGTGAAAGAAATTTAAGATTATTGTGGACAACAGATCTCCCTGCTTTACTCCCCTTCTTATTTCATATTTGGCCATTAGACTTCCTTCTATTCTTACTCTTTTGTTCAATATGAATTTTGTTCAATACCATATCTAATATCTGGGCCTTATACTGGATAAAAAATTGACTTGGAAACAAACACATACAATATATGCTAGATAGATGCAAAAAAGGTAGTAATTTTCTTAGAATGACAACCAAAGTGTGGTGGGGTTGCGATGTTGAAACATCCTTATTGTTTTACAGAGCTTATATACGATCCATTATAGATTATGGTGCTACTCTTTACGGTTCTGCATCTAGAAATCTTCTAAGAAAAATTGACATTTTTCAAAATTCTGTCTTAAGGGTCTGTTTAGGTGCTATGAGATCTACCCCTATACAACCACTACATGTCGAAGCTTATGAACCTCCTCTTTCGATTAGAAGAAATTTATTAAGCGAAAAATGGGTACTCAAAGCCCACTCAACATATCCCAAATTATTTTCCAGTATACGTCAACTTAACGAATCAGATCTCACTCATAAATATTGGATTAAGAAGCCGTCTCCACCTTTGTGCACTGCTTTACAGAACAATTCAATTTTTTCAAAAAATTTGGCCAAAGTGGAAAAAAATTTAGACTTCTTTGCTCTCTTCCATAAAGCTGAAGTTATAATACCCACATATAGTCACAACAACAAAATGAGCAACAATATTCTGAGATCTGTTTTGAACTGTTATAGTGATGCCACAGTTATATACACGGACGCATCCAAATCAATAGAAGGGACTGGCTGTGCCTTTTTTCTACCCTCAGGAGGTTCTGAATTTAAGTACAAACTTTCCAAGGAGTTTTCAATTTTCTCGGCGGAATCATTGGCTATACTCGAAGCTTTGAAATATGTTAAAAACTCTTATATTAAAAAATCGTTAATTCTTTCAGACTGCCTTTCAGTTCTACAGAACATAAAAAACACTTTTTTGCCCAAAACATTTAGTAATCCTTATATTTTTCTGATAAAAGATCAATTAAAGCACTTAGTAGACTCTGGCTTTAATATAAAATTTATTTGGGTTAAGGCACATATTGGACTCAAAGATAATGAATATGTAGATTACTTAGCTAAAACCAGTATAATATCAGGCACTTTATTACCATATTCTTTATGTGTATCAGATGCCATTAGGATATTTAAAAAAAACCAGCTAGCGACATGGAAAGATCAATGGAATCTTTACTGCCTTACAAACCAAACAAGATACACTACTTTACAACCAGTTATTCCACAAACTACTTGGTTTAAGAATTTTAAATCTCCACGTAAATATATAACCACCATAAATAGACTACGCTTTGGACATGCGTGTTATCCAAGTCATTTATATAAAATAAATGTGATTGAAGATGATAATTGCAAACATTGCGGAAAACTGGGTGATCTTGATCACATCTTTTTTGAATGCCCTAAGTTTCAACAGCATTCAAACTCTCTCTACAAAAAATTAATCGAATTTAATATGTATGCACCATTCAATATTCAGTCGCTACTGGCGACAGGCTCACAAAATATATATAATATCATTATAGATTTCTTGTCAGACACATGCATGGTTCTATAGAATTTGTACTCGAGCATGAAATGTTTCATGATCGTGTGGAAATTTAGATTTGTATCCTTTGTTTACCCTAAATGTT